TGTCATTCAGTCATTCTTAACCCAACACTGAATCCTGGGTAGACATGTGTCATTCATTAATTTCTAGTGACCCGATCATTCAAGTATTGATTTGTATTACGAACCGGGTCATTTGGGTCGCTCATTCAAATTAACCATTTTGAGTTTCAGTACTCTGTGAACCCCGCTTAATAATGTCGGTCATCGGATATTACTATAAAAATACTATACTCTTATATGGTGTATATCTTTATATATAAAAATTACGTGTCACCAGGGATTGAAAACAGTTCCAAAATACCGGTATAGAACAGGTATTTAGGGGTTTCGGTACCTATACCGGAACAGGAACCAGAACCTAAATTAGAACCTTTAAGAACCTTTATTTTACCGGTTCCTAAGCAAAGCGAAAGCGAGTCAAAACTTTTTTGAGGTGCGGTCGGGTGGAGGAGAGGGGAGTTTTTAAAACATCTCTTGTATTGGTGGATCTTCTGTTTTTTGCGTAGATCTACGGAATTTTGTCATCATCTACGGAACTACGGAATTTGAGGTCGCAATCTACGGAATTCTACGGAAACGACGGCTCCGTGGCGCAGTGGCTTAGCAATAAGTTGCTGCGCTGGGAGCTGCGGGTTCGAATCCTGCACGGAACAAGTATTTGTATGGCCCACAACAACTGTGGGCCATACAAATTCTGTGGGGGTAACGTATTTAAAAAAAAAATTATAAACTTAACAAGATTTTTTTTTATCATGAGTGTGAACTTGCCGACAATGTTATTCTCTCTCTTCTTCTATGTTGTCTGTATTAAATTATATTTAATAATTAATTCTATGCTATCTGTATTAAAATAAAACCACTTTTGCTCACAAATATTAATTTTTTGTGAGGTTAATCGATTTCAAATTTTAATCGCTCAGATATTTTGCATTAAATTACTTTTATTTCGAATTTAGAACACTTCTTGGAAAATAGGCAGTGAATATAAGGGCTTATCATTTTTTTTATAGATGATTCAATTATCACTTATGTCTCAATTTTTTCTAATCCATGCTGTTCTAATTGTTTTCACAATTATTAGAAAAAACTGCCGAATAAGTCTTCGCTTTTCCTCGATCTTTTTTTTCGAATTTCTCAAGGTTTTTAGTTGTATAGTTTTTCATTGTTACATGAATGACCCGAGCCTGAAACACCGTAATATATCAAATAAACTAACAAAAACCAGAAAATAAAATCTATGTTAATAAGTCGTTATAATCAAGTTTGTAACGTTTTTTTTTTTTAGTATAACTATCCACAAATATTAAAATGTGTTTAGTTATTTTATTTATTTTTTACTAAAAATTATTTAATTAAAAGAAAACAGTTAATTTTGGACAATTTTTATGATATTTTTTTCTTATATATGCAGCTTGATTCGATGTTATACTACAATTAAACTTACAACAAGAATTTTCCATGACAGAAATAATTTTTTCCAAAATATTAATCTATTCTATGACAAAAATAAAAATTGTCGATCCTCAACGGAACGGCTATTTTGAAATAGCATCTACGGAATTTTTTATACCAATCTACGGATTTGGAGCGATTTGATTAAAGGTTTTTGGAACCGGTATTTAGAACCGGTACATCAGAACCCAAACCGGAACCGATACCGGAACTGGAACCGTACCGAAAAGAGGAACCTTTATAAGAACCTAAATGAAGAACCAGAACCGAAATTGGTACCGGTATTCAATCCCTGCGTGTCACGTTGTTTACATATATATACATATATATATATATATATATATATATACTAGCTCGCCAGGCAGACGTTGTTCTGCCCTTTCCAACGACCCTTCCTATAAAAGTCCTTAAATTCGCAAAATTTCATTGAAATCAGTTCAGTAGTTTAGGAGTCCATCACGGACAAACAACGTGACACGTAATTTTTGTATATAAAGATATATTATATAGGTCGTAGGGCCTATCAATCGTATGATTTGACCTTCAAGAAAAAAGCGTACTCCTTTTTAAAAGGCCGGCAACGCATCTGTAATTCCCTCCCTGGTGTTGCAGTTGTTCATGGGCGGCGGTAGTCACTTACCATCAGGTGAGCCGCATGCTCGTTTGCCCCCTCTCCTATAAAAAAAATGATCCGGATCATTCAAAAAATGTAATTGCAATCATCAATACTTTGATGCGACCCGGGTCAAATGAACGAATCATTCACGGTTGACACATGTCTAATACACCTCTTTAAATCTATAAATTAAACGTGCGTCACTACGTTTTCACCTATAAGTACCACAAACTAATGCGAAGTGTTCGTACTATTATGCACTAGAGACTAAGTTAATATAGATAGTTCGACTAAGTCTATTATTTTTAGTTGGTTGCGCAAATACTACAATATTATTACAAACTTAAACCTGCCATCTATATGCATGGCGAGAACTAAAACACAGTGTTGCTGTTATAAAATTGATAAATTAATTGGTACAAAATGAAGTATATTAAAAATAAAAATGCTTAAACTTTTAACATGGTGCGGTTTTATTTTGTTTACACGATATTTGACACGTAATATCCTCGTCTTTCACATTTTTTTTCTTAAGTTCACATCAGTGTTACCTCAGAACTTTTTTCTAGGTAAACCGATTTTGATAATTCATAATTAATTTATTTGAAAGCTGGTGCTTCTCATGCGGTCCCATATAAATTTGACTAATTTGACCAGTCGTTTTTGAGTTATTCTTAATAATGCGTATTTAATTGACTTCAAATACATGTTCTCATATTAATAATATTGAAGTCGGATGTACAAAATTTTTTTTACCACTTTTTTAAATAATGGTAGCTGGTTAATTTTAGACAGGTTAGGGACCATATATTTTAAAGTACGTTTAACATATATGTAAATTATTAAATTAGGTAAAGTTAATTTTGTCTGCCCCGAACTATGAATATTGAAGTAATTCTAAATGCGATCTATACTTTCTGCCATAACTAGACAAGCAATATGCTTTAGACTCCACTAGTGATTTATATAGCTGTATAAGAATTTTATACGGAATTTTACATTTAATTATGGAAAATTGTAAAAATAACATTAGTTCATTAATGATATATTTGATGTGATTTTCATTGCACACAGAACATTTTTAAAACATTATAGCTGATAGCAGTTTAACACTACTGTGTTTCGTATAGTGAGTGTAGAGAACCGGAGACCCTTTTTACTGAAAACGAGGCATCTTAGTCCTCACGGTTGACAACGCATCTGCATTTTGATTCGCAAACGAGGATAAATGTAGATGTCTATGGCCACAGCAACCACTTACCATCAGGCGGACTGTGTGCTCGTTTGTCACCCTTATCCTATAAAATAATACTTAATTTAAAATAGGGTATCGTTTATATCTTACCATATTATTTGTAGTTATCACCTGATAGCATGGGGGTCAAGCTTGACTTAGTAAATTAACACTTAGTAAATTATTTTCTTATTTAATGCTGTCGCGTTGCGATGCCCCTTTTTTTAATTAAATAACATATAGGAACATCTCAAGCAAAACATAATATTGAAAGGTAGGGCATCTACGTATGAAAACACGTAAGTAATATTGTAAATAATAACTAACATACTCATTAAGTACATAGTCGCTAGCCGTTAAACCATATCAAAAGTCTTAAAAGTAAAGATTACGTCTTTGCCCTAAAACCCTCTCAGAAATGAGAGGAGGCCTGTACCCAGCAGTGGGACGTAAATACTTTAGGCTACAACTTTACTTTCTTTTTACCTGAAAGGGGGATATTTGCCATATTTGTCATGCTTGACATCACCCGTATTTTTTATTTTCTACCGTCTTCAAAAAGGAGGAGGTACTCAATTCCACTATATGTTTTTTTTATGTGCTATAACTGTTATAACTGCTTTCTGGGTGAACCGATTTCGATGATTCTCTTTTTTATTTGAAAGCTTGTACTCCTCATCCATATAAATCTCGTCCCATATAAATTTAATTACAGTTTGACCAATAGTTTTTGAGTTGTTCATAATAATTTATATTGAAGTTAGTTGTCCAATTTTTTTTTATTTTAAATTATTTATTTGTTATTAGGAAGACTGCTGTGTATCTCTTGGTTGTTTTCTCTCTTGTCTCTGACGACACTCACTGGACAATATTAGGTATTAGATATTCTTACACTGTTACTACACGGTTTTAAAAGTACATAGGTAACATTACTTATATCTATAATTGTGTTACTTAGCTACATAATATGTGAATAATTTTAAAGATGTGTAAAATGTTTGTTATTCGATCACACAAAAGGAATCGGATGAAATTTGAGACACAGACTGTGTCTTGGACTAATGGTATATTTTAAATTTAACAAGTATTAAGGTAATAATATAGGACCGTTATCTTTAATTCGCCTACGAATAGGGTATTAACTATATTAAATTAACCAAGATATTTAAAACTATTTCTTTTATGCTTATCATTTTATTGTTATTGACTAAATCACCAATGCATCTGGCAGTTTACGAGTATTACATTATTATTTTCAAATATACAATGAATTATATAATGATAAAGTATTTTAAAATTATTTTTATACCTTATATTTTTAAAAGATAATATAGTAGTTTTTTGTTAAATTTAGAATTTTTTGTATATCAAAGTTGTCAACACTGTCACAATTGACCGCCTCTCGTGAGCAAATCCTTCGCTCGATCTCGCTCTGTCGATCGGGTGCGATTGAGGAAGCCATTTTATTTTGTGAATGTGATAGTGAGAAAGTATTTTTCGAATATTTTTATTTTAAACAATAGTGTAAATGTATGTCCGCGTCAAGTGGCTTTCGTGAGGTGTGTTTGTGATTAAAAATAGAGAATGTACGTAATTCAAACGACCCGTTTGTGGTGACCTGTCCGTTTTTACACGGTCGCACAAGCAGGGATCGATTAGTGCAAGACAACCTCCAATAACGAGGAATCGAGGAGTAGGAATAGTTTAGTTAAGTGCGCCATGGGCAATAATGCTGCCACCGCAAACAAAAAGGTGGACGCCGCCGAAAGCGTCAAAGAGTTCCTCGATCAGGCCAAAGAAGATTTCGAGGAAAAATGGAAGAAGAATCCTACCAACACCGCCGGACTGAATGACTTTGAACGAATAAAAACATTAGGTACGGGCTCATTTGGTCGCGTCATGATAGTTCAACATAAGCCCACGAAAGAATATTATGCAATGAAAATATTAGATAAACAAAAAGTAGTGAAATTGAAACAGGTCGAGCACACATTGAATGAAAAGCGAATTCTGCAGGCTATTAACTTTCCTTTCCTTGTTAGCCTTAAGTTCCATTTCAAGGACAACTCCAACCTGTATATGGTTTTGGAATACGTGCCTGGTGGTGAGATGTTCTCGCATCTGCGAAAAGTTGGACGCTTCTCTGAGCCCCATTCGAGGTTTTACGCTGCGCAAATAGTATTAGCCTTTGAATACCTACATTACCTCGATCTAATTTACCGAGATCTTAAACCTGAGAATTTGTTAATTGATTCTCAAGGATACCTCAAAGTGACTGATTTTGGATTTGCTAAGAGAGTCAAGGGACGTACATGGACCCTTTGCGGCACACCCGAGTACCTGGCACCTGAGATTATTCTTTCCAAAGGCTACAACAAAGCAGTGGATTGGTGGGCGCTTGGTGTCCTCGTGTATGAGATGGCGGCCGGTTATCCGCCATTCTTTGCGGATCAGCCGATACAAATCTATGAGAAAATTGTTTCAGGTAAGGTTCGTTTTCCTTCACATTTTGGTTCAGATCTGAAAGACCTCTTGCGCAACCTACTGCAAGTAGACTTAACAAAAAGGTATGGTAACCTGAAAGCTGGTGTTAATGATATTAAAGGCCACAAATGGTTTGCAAGCACTGATTGGATAGCTGTCTTTCAAAAGAAGATTGAAGCACCTTTCATCCCACGCTGCAAAGGTCCTGGTGATACAAGCAACTTTGATGATTATGAGGAGGAAGCATTGCGTATCTCATCAACAGAAAAGTGTGCAAAAGAATTTGCTGAATTCTGAGCAAATTGTTGGTGCCTGCATGTGGACAGGCATGAGCAGGCGTTCTATAATTGTGAATGGTCCATGATTTGAGCCACGATATAGTGATGAGTGCATGCCAATGCCCGCGGTCTTGGGTTATTATTATGGATGTTGTTACGCCCCCACGTTGGTGCTTCGTACGTACCAAATTCGGAGTATAGGCAACATGATAGTAGTACTGATTTCCGATATTTTTGTGGCATTCTTTTGCTTAGTGCCCTTTCAAGTTAATAAAAGAATGATAAAGAGGTGACATGTTCGGTGATATTTCCCACAATGTTTACCTATGAGGATATCATAAGCATCATCATTCAACATCAGTACTAGATGTTTCTTTTCTGTAAATTATTGTTTACCATTAACAATTACTGTGGTAAGCTTAGGCATATATTTGTATTTTTTGTATATCATTAGTATGTGTGTCAATCAGGTTTTTCTCTTATTTTTAAGAATTACTTCTAAAGTATAATATTTGTCAAGGTATTATTTAGCAAAATCACATTAAAATTACTTTCATATATCAGGTACGATTTACATTTTCATTTACAGCTCAACATTAAAATCAAATTATTTTATGTGTATCTAAGTCTTAATGGAATGTTATATTTGGAATAAGTTTTAATTTTTGACTCTTTGTTATTGATTTTTTTTTGTATTTGTAAACATATTGTTAAATCAGTTGATATTTTATTAGAGAACTGTAATGGCTAAGGATTTTGGAGAGATTAATTTATTTCTATGTAGATGTTCTGTTGTGCAATTCAATGAAGTTTGTGATCTGATGTGAGGATTCATTTGGAATTTAAGTGTTATTTGTATAGTTCCTTATATTGTAGATAACAGTTTTTTTTTTAATAACAGGATAAATGAATTCTTTGTGAGGCAATCTGAAAACTAATCTGCTGTGATTAGATACTTGTTGCTAACATCAGTTTCTAAATGCAGTATTATATTTTCATGAATTTATATATATATATCAATATTGATACACTGATAAGGACAATTTTTATAAATAATCTGTTATTTTTCTGAATTAGGATGGGTGTACCAGTCCCTAACTAGTTAAGGACACATTTTGACTTTGAAATGCTTTGCTTGACTTTGAATGCTATTTAGTTTTAACGTCGAAATGTATATATAAAGTTGTTTATTGATCAGTAATGTTGCAATATAGATATATTATTTGATTCCAAATATTTAAGTTTTTTATAAAATTCATTAATTATATTAAAAACGGGAATGTGCCTAAGTTTGACCAGTGTGCTTCAATAAATGACCACTTCTGCACCAATAGTTGACCCCTGAAAACCATATCAAGAAAAAGTAGCTAATTGAAAATAAAACTGTCTGAGCCACAGCAACCACATACCATCTGGTCGACTCTGTGCTCATTTGTCACCCTTATCCTACAAAAAAATCCTGTGGAGGTAGGGTAACTACCGTTTCTTCTGGCTGTTGGATTGATAGTCCAGGTTTCAAACTCAGTTAAAGATGTCCTCTCTTATTATTTGGCTAACTGTTTCCAATAAACAGTCCTTTTTAGTGTTAGTGGTAATCCACCTAGTTAATAGATACTATTCATGTGGGGTCAAGATAGTTGGTGATCCCATTTTCCATTAAGAATGTCTTATTTTTACTTTGTTTGTAACAGTCGGGTGAGGGAAAAGATATTTTCGACATGTTGGCCTTATTTTAGCGCCTTTATGAATTTCATTGAGACAGATTTAACTCTGTATATTTAAAAAATGTCTTTGTCATCTTCGATCTAAAACAACAAGAAAAAGTTAAAACTCTAATGTGGTGCTCGTCCATAGGAAAACTTTTTTACTACTGTGTACCAATAACAAACCAGTGGTCAAAAACTGGGGTACACTGCATAAAACTATTTTAATATTTGGCTTTAAGCTCTAAATTGTCAAACAATAGCATTGCTATGAGAAAAAAAGTAAAAAAAAAACACTATAGGCAGCCAGTTGCAAACCAGTTGGTCAACAATAGGAACCCAGTACAAGATGTGTTCCAGTAGTTAACCACCTTTAAAAATACTTGATAATGTCATTATTTAATAAAAATAGTAGCAGCATATAGCACTTAAATAAACACAAAACTTAAAATAATACAACTTGACAGCAATTAGGAAATAATAGGTGATATTAAAAGATTTGACTTAGCAAGTTGACATGCATGTCTAACTGTAATGCCGGCCAAAAGGCAGTAAATGAGACTGATATTTTTCATTCACTCTTGCAAAAATTATGTTTGGAAGGTTGGTTACAGTCTAGGCAACACAACAAAACTATTGAATTCTTAAAACATGCCTGCCATTTCTTAATTTATTCAATTGAACATATGAGTGGTCAACCACTGGTACCTGACTTGGGACTGGTACACCCACACTAGTTTCTCATCAGATAGGCAAGAAGACAAATAAGATCTTATGCCACACAAAACCAGTCACATCAGTAACAAGAGGAATAGGTTAAAAACTTTTTCTCATTAAATTTCCTTGAGACTGATGTTATTAATAGGTGTTGAAATCATTATGACAGTTATTTTTAGCTGTGTGATTCTTTAATGTATTTGAGATGATTTGCTGGCAGTTTATCGCACGGTTTGTTAGATGTTAGACTAGGAATTCAAATCCACATTGTACAAATAATTATGTAGTTATTTGTAGTGAATTTTACATTGTGAAAACATTGTGTGCATTTGTGGGTATAGTCATTAGAATGAATTTCCTAACGTTACTTAACATTTATTTATTCCATAAGTATTTATCATATATTGCTATTGACAAAAAATTATCACATCTGCACTTTAATTGCTTTTGTTAACTGTAAAATTAAATGATAATATATATGTACACATACACATCAGTAATTCAAAGTATTTATTAAAAAGTGTCAATGTTTTGTCTATATTTGTTTTATACTAAGCTTAAAATAAACATGTTACCTACTATGTCAACTGATTTAAATATTTGAAAATAATGTCTTGTTGCAGACTAGTTTTTGTATATTCTATTACATCATATTCAAGTATTATTATTGTTTTGTAAGTAAAATTATGTCTTTTGCTACTTAACTTTGTTATTCTGGTGCCATAGCTGTTTCTAGATATTGATATGTAAATATGTCTATAGGGTATTTTTGTTAATTTTATTGCATAGAGATCTTCATATAACCACACCAGTGAGCTGGCACTTGTTGCTGTTGCTTTTGTGTCCATATTTGCACAGTCTATAATAAGCTTGATGCAAAAAAAACTTAGATTATTATTAAAGTATTTTAGATGTCTGAATTAAATAAAAAGCTATTAATATATGCAGAAAATTATCATAGTTTAAATTTTGACAGAGAATATAAATGAATATAATCTAGTGGCAATAATAATACTACTAGAAAAACGTAATCGTAAATTTAAAGAATTTAGAGTCACTTGTTGCTAAGCTGCTTTTTTAATTTCCCTATGAAATATTTTAACCAAATCTAACATTTAAAAATTATGGTTTTGAAATGTATGTTACATTTGAAAACTGTAATTTTATTGTTAATTTCACCATTTAGGATATAGTATAATTCAATTGAATATTGATCACAAATGAATTTAGTTGACAGTGTTATATTAGGCATTTCTGAAATATCATTGTATATATTCTAGAGTGATTGTGACCCCATTAACTAGCGTGTTTCGATATCAGCTTCTCAATATATGCAATTTTCATTCCAGTAGTCACATTATTCATCTTTTACATCCGACATTCTAATGTGAACATTTTAAAACCTATCTTAGGTATTTGAAGAGTTAGTGTGGAGGTCTTGTCTATTGTGATCGGTCTTTTTATAATCTGTTCGTAAATTGATATTAAAATGTTCACGTCTAGATCTATTATATCGAGTGCCTATAGTATTGAAGGTTCTAGTGTAAAAAGTCATTAATTTCAGTAATTATTTGTCACCGTGTATTGATCTTCCATAAAATTACGATGAAATTAAAAATATCGATGTAACAGTATATATTGTTTAATTTACATAGAATTTCCTGTAATTTATAATTGTCTACTTGCCAATACGTACTCTTGCTAAATGCCTAATGATTTCGCAATTGATTACCAGAGATTTGTGAGTTTGACAAACAAACTGCGAGTGTTGAAATATGAATGGAAAATTTCGTTTTGTACATTTGGCAGTCACGTTGCGAAGGGGCGGCCGGGGCGAGTTAATATGCGGCTTCCTCATAAAGTGGACCGCGCTTATGGTGGAATAGAGATCCCCACACAGCAGAAACAAGTATTTTTTATTTTACGATATTGAAATATGATGTTATTTTTAATATAATTTGAAATGAATTCAATGTTACTTCAATTGTGTAAATAATATGAAAAAAAAATCGAGAAGCTAATAATATACTATTATTTAGTAACTGTGATTAGAGAAAAATATGTCAAAAAGAACGGAAAACTATTATAAAAGAAAATATCTGAACTTGATTTAAACTCGACCTTGCATAAAATCGTTGATTATCGCTTTAAATTAAGTATTAATTATCACTCTACCTCTCTTTTTATTGTCAATTAGTGAAAAATGAAAGATCAACTTCAAACTGTAGTCGAAGGCCGTAAATGTTTATTTCTATTATAGTTAAAAAAAACATCATACGAAAATTAAAAATATACCCTATAATTGCATTATGCTCGGCTGTTAAATAGATTATTCGTGCGAACAACTCCAAATGTTTGGTATTGTTTTAATTGAAAATCGCATATATTTATAGCAACACCGTTTGCTCTGTCCGAGAGCAGCGAATGTAAAAAAATCGACGACAAGTCAAGGTTGGATGTGAGGTCAGATAAACTAAAAAGAACTTACCGTCTCCTCGCTTTTTAATTAAGTAGATACGTTTTAATATATCTATTTTACAGAACGGTATGTATTAGTAATAAACAAATTGAAAACCATTTTCTTTATAACTGTTATAGA